GCCCAACTCCCCTGGAGAGAGTTTTTTTTAACTGTTCATTCTCAATGTGGGTAATATCACCTCCAAGGGGGTGAAAATTGGTTCTTCAGGAGGGGTAAAAAAAATCTTACTCTTTTTATGTATAAAGAACAGATACACAGTATATCTGTGGTATTAGGATTTACTAGGAGGGGTTCAAGTAGGGGGAAAAAGTCTGAAGTCTCTGAGAGGGGAGTAGATGATGATGATGACAAGAAGTTGAGGAACACTGCTGTCAATCCACTTCCTATAGGAACAACGATTCAGATGTGTTCTGGAGCATTTTCTAAATTGTCTTATATTGTTTTAAAAGTGATTTATCCTATGCTAATTGATAAAGAACTGAATATACAGAAAGAGCTGTTTACCCAGACATGAATTCCCCTCACCTGGGAAGTGCTAAAATCCTCACAGTCTGAATTCTCGCTCTCTTTTCTGAATACTGCTATTTTCCTGACGGAATTCCCCTCCTAGAATAGCTACAGGATCACGTGAAAGCCATTGTCCGGCAACAGTTCAAAGGGGAAGCATGGAAGGCTATACTAGACAGCTTCTTCAGAAAGGTGAGCGCTCTGCACACACCGTTTTTGCCACAGACTTCTTAATAAGGGGAGAGGAAATTCTGCTTTTGTGTTATTTTATTTTCATAATTAAGTCAATTAAGTCATATAAGAAATAGGAGGATGAAGAGCTGTGACAAACAAAAATAGATCACTAACTTTCATATGCATCAGGAATAGCTCCTTTGAGGTTCCCCAAAAGTTGGTGCCAATGACTGAAATGTTGAAATGTGCCACATGCCGCTATTATTATCACAACCCCTCCTGAGACAGTGGCCTTGGGCAAGGATCAAGAAGGGGCATGCATTCCATCTCCTTTGACAAACACCACTCCCTGGTTGGCAACATTCAAATAGAACAGTAAATGAATCTGTCTTAGTTAAAAGTGATGTTACTACCTGTGTGTCCTCAAGAGCAGGAGCCTGTCTGTGACCTCCCCGTGTCATCATGGACCGGAACACACGCCAGAGTAAGGAAGACGAGAGAAAGCACACACTACCTACAATCCAGATGTCTTTTCTTCTAAGTGATAAATCCATTCTCTGGGAGCAGCTACAGAAGTCACTTGGCTTATATGTTCCCTCCCCTGATCTAGCGCAAGCCCGTTTCCAAGCACACACTTGTTGCATGCTCTGTTCTGAGGAGCAGGCGTTGCCGAATTGCAGAGGGTTCTTGCAGTATCCTGCAACAGATATTTTCAGTTATACGGTCAACAGATAATCTGCCTCTTTAAAAGGAAAAATATGATGGCCTGTGTGACAGATCTGAAACAGGTGCAGGGGCAGAGAGAGACGTGCTGGCTGCAATTGACGCCAACCCAAATGCACTTGTCCCCAGTTCAAGGACGATTAGCACCACGGAAACTGGCATCTGCTTTTATGGCTGGGCCACCGCCAGGGTGCTTTCTCCTGCCCTTCAGGGTGAGAAGCAAAGAGATGGGGGTAGGGAAATGAAACTTTAAAAATCACAAAACCTCCACCCTCAGCTATGTTATTTTGAGATCTAAGTTATAGTCATTATGAACACCAACGATGGTACGATTTCACAGTGATTAGTCAGGAAATGCCACCGGCTATTAAATGTACCAGTTGCAATCAAAATAGGGAGAGCTATGTTTTGCTCCAACCCACTCTGTCCTATTTACATCCTGTTAAATAGTTGGTTTTGTTGCATTTTTGGAGCATTTGTACCAGGCATTTAAACATTCCAGGGGCTGTGAGGTCCCACCTCTGTTAGAACCATCCTTATTTTCTGTGCCCCCAGCTTCACCTTACTCCTCTGGTCGAGACCATGCCTTCTGGATGGAGGATGGGTAACTAGGAGTGTACAGGAAGGTCGAGAAAAACCAAAGGACAAGGAGGTGAGCACAGATAATCTTGGGCATAGAAAGTAGGGATATGTATAGTAAATGGGGGAAGGCAGACAGAGCCAAATGGGAGAATGCAACTCTGCTTGTCTGAGAACATTATATGGCTCTTTTGTCTTTCATTAAGCAAATATATAGAGCGTGTGTGTGTGCACGCATGTATTAAACAGTAAATTTTAGATCGGAAATAAATGCAGCATGGGAGGTATTTATACAGGTAATAGAGAGCTAATAAAAGAAGAAAACCTGGATTTGATTGTATAAAAGTAATATTAATTCTGGTTATGAGAGTCGCCCGCCATTTATGAGTTAAGTAGCTATTAAGCTCATCACTCATACGTCACGGATCAATTTTTCTTTTAAGTTTTACTTGATTTCAACACCATGTTATGTAAGTTTAGATCTAATTTTTTAGGGCAAATCCACTGAAAGCTTTTAAAATTCTGCACTATTAAGGTGATTTTGAACACCCTTTAGAATATAATAGAATGAGAAGTCATTAGAAAACTGAATAAAAAGGGAAGTAGAAAAATAAAATGAAAAGTAGAACATGTGGTATTTAAAAAATTCAACAAAAAATAACGGAGAGGAAAAGAAAGAAGATAGTTAAAAATAAATCCAGTGTGGGAAAAATAAGTGAAATAAAAAATCCTGGTTACGAGCAGGAAAAGAAAAAGAATCTGAGCTTTACCAAATTATATTAACAAATATAAGTTGTTAAACGTATAGATAATTTTTCCCGTTGGGACTGCCAAGTAAAGGCTTCTAGGGAGAAATTGCACTTCAAGCCTTCAAAACAAAGCTTCCACATCACTAGAGTGTCTGAAATTCAGAGTAAATTCTTTTCAGTGTGCCACAGTGAAGATTTCTACGATGACTAGCAGTGCTGAACTTCTCAAAGAGAGACAGGATAAAAGAGAAAGGAGAATAAGTGGAGAAAATTATGGCAAGCATCTTTTTTTATAGTCCTGGGGAGAAAAGAGCAGTGTTGTAAAGACTTACTGTGGCCCCAGCAGAAGGAGATGTGTCAATCTAGAGCTGTCTACGTGCCTGAAGACATCTGAGCTGCTGGAATGCCCTTCTTCACCCCCTGGTGCCAAGGCCTACTGGCTACCTTGGCACCCACTGACTGGGCAAGCAAGACCTCCAGCGCAGTGGCCTTGGCAGCCACAGAAAGGAGAAGAGCTCTGGGCCTCTGATTCATGTGTCTATCCGTTCTCCACAAGGCGAGAGAGAGACAGGGAAATTTATTGCTGACATCTCTGGGCCCTTCGCCATTTACAAAGAAGAAACTGAATGGACATATGGGGCCACTAGTCATCCTCTCTCCCAGCTGCAGGAAGGCACGGGTTGCACAAGGGATATCGGGCCAATTGTGAAGGATGTTCTTTCAGAGTTTCTGAGGAACAACATTCTCAGTGTTTTCCTCAAAAATATCGTAAATTATTTAACTTCCAAATCATTTGATTTCCAATATTCTGGAGCAGTATCACGAAAATAATTCTTGCTTAAAATGTTTATGTTCCAGCTGAGCACCATCTCACTCCTTAAACATATTGCCTACGTATAAAAATCATATCACAGAACCTGGAGAAAAACAGCACTGGAAAAACAAAGTCACATGACAGATGGCTGGTTATGTCAAAGTTACCCGAGAAGAATATTTAGTCTTCTCTGTTCTACAGAAATTAATAAACAGAAAAGGAAAATTTTCCGCTTATTTGTTTGTATTATAAACAGCCCTAATGAGGAAGCCCTTCACATCTGACTTAAATTTTGCCTGTGGAAACTTGTTTTTAGTATACACTGAACAAGGTGTGAACTCATAGGGAAAGAGGAGGTTTCAAAAAACCTACGTTCCAACCTAACCCATTTCTTGTCTCCAGTACATTTGATTGTTCCATATTCAGTAACACTGGAGAGACGGCTCTGCCCTTTCTCACGGCTCTGTTTCACTGTCTGTTGCATTGTTAGAAATACCCTTCTGATCTGAATAGGGTTTTTCAGAACAGCAGCTGAACAAAGAAATGTGTTTCCCAAACCTGCCTGATAGGAATCACTTGCTCTGATTATTAAAAATAAAGATTCCCAGTTGTCAACCAGGATGCAGGACTCAGTCAAATAGATATGTTCTTTCCACAAGCATTTTTGGTGCCTGTCATGTGCTGGTTACTAGGAAAGCAACTGGGAATGCAAGGACAAGTGACACGAGGTCCCGACCTTGAGGAGTGCTATCTGGAGAAAAGAGACAGACACATTCAATGCGATCACACGCGCTAGAATAAAGGCATGGGCAAAATGCCGTGAGGCCTGTGCTGGGCCAGGAGCTACACTTCTGTGGGCCCACAAGTGGGACTCGATTGAGCCAGGGCAGGGGAGGGGGCTGCTGCTGCAAATGCTTACTGAATGATTCCTATAGTGACAGACAGATACTGTGCTAAGTGCTTTGTATCCGTCAGCACATCATTCACTACTCTGCTGAGTTTAGTAATTCGCCAAAGATCAAGCAGCCAGAATGGGGTTCAGGAAGCTCGTTCTACACAAATGAGGACACCGGCATGCCATCAGGCAAGGCTTACTTGTCCCTGTCCCTGACTGTCACTGTCAACAGCTCTGCCACCTACCCTGTGAGGCGCTCAAGGTCTCGAGGAAATTAGAAACTTCTGCAGAGCAGTTATGCCCCTCACAGTGCTTCTCCGAATTTCATGCCCAAATCCATCCTTTTATAAATGATCCGTCTTAAGAAATGTGTGTTTCCATAAGTTCGCTCTCATAGCTTCTAAGCCACTAACCCCAGTGTGGAGTAGCCTGCAGGAAGAGATGCATATTCAAAGGCCTCGTAATTATTTACCAAATTCAACTGTATAATTTATAACACATAATCCTCAGTGAAACAAAATGGAAGTTTGTCTATTCATAAACGCTCCTTAATTCTACACACAAGTGACAAAATAGAATTTGAAAAGGGTCTGATAATGGCTACATTTATTGATTTATGTAAGAAAAGATAAGGTAGAACCAATACTTTTTAGGAGACTAAATTAGCATACAATTACCTCACTCTTTCCAGATCTTGAATCCTGTTCACTAGAACATTCTTCCAGAAAACATTTCACTTTCTCAACCTTTTCCATGCACTGGAATAAGGCCATTTTCTCCAGCTGGTTACTGTTGTAACATGTGTTGGTTTCTTCTAGCCTCTTCACTTTTAACATCTTGGTGGTGAGTCCGATTAAGTTACTGTCCGGAGTGTGGTTTTCATCCTCCTCTGCCTCCGATTTGTAAATCAAGACACAGTTGTGACTTCTGAGTGTGCCTTCCTCTTGACTGTAAAGAATGGAAACAAAGTTCTCATCACTTACTCACACATTCGATTTTTTTGGGAAAATGACCAGTGAGAATTTTGAAGTCTTTTCTATTTAAACTGGAGAGAGGATCCAAAATTAGGAAGAGAAATGCTAATATTAACATGAAATTTTGAATTCTGGACGTTTTCCTTCACTTTTTCCTACAAAAGCAAACAGTAAGAAGCAACCTTAAGTTTCCCTCATTGCACAAAAGATTTCTATCAATTGGCCAGTTTAAATAGAGAATGTAAAGTTTCTTTGGGTTTAATTCGCATTGCCGGCTTTGTTCCTCCCATCCCCAGTGGGAAAGGTTTCCGTGTAAGGGGGTCTCTCATGCTTCCCCAGGGAATTCTGCCCACTCTGGGAAGTGGTCTACACCAAATGAGCCATTTCCAGAGCCCTTCTCTGCTGACACTTTAAAATCTTGGTGCTTATTTTAGAAAAGAAATTTGTTTCCTTACAGCCCTATCACATCGATAAGATAACCAGACATCCTCTTTTGCATCTTCATTAATGACTAGGTACCGAGGGGTTTAAATCCTGTGCTTTCCTTGAAGTGCTTTCCTTACAAACTAAGTGTGACATGTATTACTTAGTTCCTTATTACTGCTCTGATACCAGAGATGTACATGTATGCATGCATCTACCCAGCACTTGACTATATTGGGGTGGGAGGGAGAGAGACTGAGTTGAATTTGTGGCAGATTCCCATGGCCGACTTCTGAGGCCTCTTGCTGGATGTTTTCAGAAAATTGCTTTTTCCAACTTTTTCTAAATTTAAAATCACCTGAAATTATCTCCACAAAACTTCATCTTTCATTTTCCCAACTCATAGTAAAATGATACCTTGTGTTCCAAATTATTTAAAATCTAACGTTCTACTTGGCCACATAAAGACTTTACATTCAAACACACTAAAATGTAAATAATATCAACCAGAGCTCTATGAGATACATTATAGACCATTATTAGCATTCTTTCAAATTGCCCTGATAAAAAAAAATCATTATTAAAATACGGAGACAGATGCATGGCTATTTCTAAGGCAAACTATGACTAAAATATAAAATGTAGTTGCAGATGGTGCTCAAGTTGGATCAGGAAGCCATATAAAAATTAACACATTAAAACAAAAGCTTAGGTCCAAGATGTAATAATTTTGCAAAGAAAAATGAAATGTTAACATTTAGATATTAAAGGTTAAGATCCACCTGGAGTTTGGCACAACTTGTTATTTAAGACAACATACAGAGAAAAAGAAGGAGATTTGAGAGGTTATAACAAACTTTTAAAAAATAGAGTAATTACCATTTGTAGGTGGACATCCTGGGGTTTAGACCTCTCCAGGGCAGAGGCTGAGAGCCGGCAGATAAAGGGAAGTTTCGCAGAGTTCAAATAACCACACGATTCTCTGGGAAAAGTCCTTGCTCTCGGTCAGTATAAATCTTCTGGAAAGACAAGTGTCCACTATGAAAGGAAGTATCCTGTCTCTCAAATGCCACTTTGTGCTCTGTTTAAACTAATAAGGTCCTTGATCTCATGTTGCTCAGCTGTTGCCTTCTTAGTCAGACGGAGAAGAATATTAATTTTAGACACCAGGCTTTTCAAGGCCAATGGCTCCATTTCAGAGGTCAGGTAAGGAGAGGATGAACTGGGAACAGTGGATGAAATATCACCTTTGCCCTTTTTCTCTCATCAGTGTGGCAATACTCGCAGAATCGCAAAGCTGCATTTGTCTTTGGCAATCCCGCCCCTTTGGGACACAGGATTACTGGCGTACTCATTCCCAGCAGGAGGACTCAGAGTGTGGGAACCCCACAGCCACCCTGTTTGCCCATTTCACACTTTGAATACATCCACCTAGAACATGAGAGATCATCTGAAAGCACTTAGCAAGTTTTAACTTTCTCAGCCTTTCAAATTATTTGCAGTATCTCCAGCTGCTGTAGCTCTAAGGAAAGGTTGCAGGCACGGGCTTTCAGGGAGATCGAGAGAACAGGAATGAGTTTTGGTAAACTCTCTTTATAAGCAAGGCTGTGACTCTCCCCCTCACATTTTTTTTGAGGAAGATTAGATCTGAGCTAACATCTGCCGCCAATCCTCCTCTTTTTTCCTCAGACTGGCCCTGAGCTAACATCCGTGCCCATCTTCCTCTACTTTACATGTGGGACGCCTGCCACAGCATGGCTTGCCAAGCAGTGCGTAGGTCCACACCCAGGATCCAAACCGGTGAACCCTGGGCTGCGGAAGCAGAATGCATGAACTTTACCGCTGCACCACGGGGCAGGCCCCCCCCCCCCCACCTCACTTTTCACCACAGTTCAAGAAAAGAGAATTCAGTGCAAAGCCCCACCTGCCTGATTCTAACAGTAGTGTATTCCTAGATTTATTTAAGTAGTATGGAACCTCAATTGTTTGGAAAATAGAACTAGTAATATAGATATTCCTATAATCCTTCAAGGCCTAGACACTTGTCACCTCTTTGGAGGCTTTGCTGATTCCCCAATGCCCACCCCAACACCAGCCTCTAGTGCTTTCTTGCTTCTCCCCCCAAAAACTTCTTATTTTTAGTTCAGATCAATGTATTCCATATAAAATAAAAATACACATTTTCATTTTGAGTAGCATGTAAAGAATTATGGCAAATTCTTTAGAAAGCAGAACTTTGGCTATTTTTCTAGGATTAGAACACTTTGTTCTTTAGGAGGAGTAGCTAAACAAAATTATGTATTTGTTAAAAATAAATTCTTTAACAAAATTGTTATGAAAGTACTGAACTGATCTGAGGTTACCAATTTTTCTGGAGTAATTAAATTGTGAGACAGTGCTGATAAGGTGACAAATCTGCCTACCAAAAGGAAACAATGTGTATGGCCTTCTGCTGATGTGACTGTTGCCTCCACCTAGATCATCCAAACAGTGGAACCAGAGTTTCCATCCCCTCAGCTCCAGTCAGCCAAACACAGGCTCCCGTGAGCCAGAAGCCAGCAGAATCCACTCCTTTGCTTTCTTTTTCCTTAATAAATTTTTTACTTTAAAATAGTTTTAGATCTACAGAAAAGGTGAAAAGTGAAAAGATAGCATAGAGAGTTCCTTTATGCCCTGGACCCAATTTCCCCTATTTTTAACATCTTACATTGGTATGGTCCACTTGTCACAATTAATGAATCCATGCTGATACATTATTACTCACTAAACTCTATACTTTATTCATATGTTATGAGTTTTTCCCTAATGTATCTTTTCTGTGTCAGAATCCCATCCAGGATAACATATTCCATTTAGATCCACTAGGATTTGTGATGGATTGGATATGGGGTATGAAAGAAAGATGGTGGACGAGGATGATTTTCCAAATTTTTTCCCGAGCATTTGAAGGGGAGAGCCGACATTGACTGAGATGGAGCAGGCCATGCAAGGAGCAACATCTGGGGGAAAAGTTAGGAGCTCAGTTTTTGACAGGTCCATTGGACGTTCAAATTGAATAGATTGTCAGATAGAAATCTGGACTTCAGGGGAGTGGTCCAGGTGGGAGATATAAATTTGGAAGTCATCACACATAGATAGTTCCATGTACAATATGTATTCAATAAATATTTGTTGATTAATTACTAGAGAGAAGGTTTTTAATTGTCTCTATTTGTCCTAAAAAAAGTCAGTTAAAAGAATCCATGCTACTTGTCTTCTAAAATTAGATGACAGTAGTTTAGTTCTGCTATGTCACACTATTTCCAGCTTCTGATAGCACAGAGAACAAACAGCCTGAAACAATACTTGACCACCAAAAAACAAGAACGTGTGTACCTTTGCCATCCATCCACTGAGCCTCAGCACCCTAAGTCCATATCCACAAAATAATTGGAATGTCTTGAAAATGCTCTTATGCTTGGAAAAGTTCACAGTGAGACTATGAGCAGGCCCAGTGATACTTTTCCTGGATTCCCCTGATATTTTGGACTTATAAATCTTAAAAAAAAAAAAAAAAAATACTAACCTCAGTAAAACAGTATTCCACAAAGCCAAGGAAATTGTGATTCTTTTTAAGGAACATTCCTATTAGCTAGCAAGAGGCTGTACTGTCTAGGGAACCACACAAAGCATGCATTGCCAATGACTCTGTGTCCTGATTGGCATTTAAACCAGGCTGGATAATGCTAATAGTTTCTATTTGTACACAGCATTTTGAACGTTTCCACGACAAGGCCTCTTGAACATTTGCACACAAAAGTGGACCAATCTTCACAAATACCAAAATGCAAATGAAAGACATCCCTGTTATACACATAACTATTGAATTTTCTTTCTTTCAGAAAGCACCACTGAGTATGATCCATAAAAGCAAAAATTGATAAATTCCACTTCATCAAAATTCAAAATTTGCTCTTCAAAAGACACCATAGGAAAATGAAAAGACAAGCTACAGACTTGGAAAAAATACTGTGAAATCACATATTTGATAAAGGACTTGTATCCTGAATATATAACAAACTCTAACAACTCAACAACATGATGACAACTCAATTTTTAAAAATGGACAAAAGATTTGCATAGATATCGCATCAAAGAAAATATACAAATGAATGGTTAATAAACACATGAAAAAAGTGCTCTAAATCAGTCATTAGGGAGATGCAAATTAAAATCACAATGAAATAGCATTTCACATCCACTTTAGAAGAGCTATAATAAAAAGAGACTAAAGCAAATGTTGGCGAAGATGTGGAGTAACTGAAACTCTCATCATACATGTTGGTGGAAATGCAAAATGGTGCAGATGTTTAAGAAGACAGTTTGGCAGTTTCTTAAATACTTATTTCCCATGTGACCTAGCAATTCTTCTCCTAGGTATCTACCCCAGAGAAATGAAAACATATAAACACACAAAACTTTGCACACAAATGTTCATAGCAGCAATATTCATGATAGTCAAAAATTGGAAACAATCCAAATGTTCACCAATTGGTCTGGTGAATAGAAAAAGTTAATGTGCTATATGCATTAAATGGAATACTATGCAGCAACAAATAGGAGGGAGGCACTGATCCCTGCTACACTTGGATAAACAAAAATGTTGTGCCAGTGAAAAAAGCCAGAAACAAAGATCACATACTGTGCGGTTCCATTTATATGAAATGTCCAGAAAAGGCAAATCTATAGACACAGAAAGTAGACTAGTGGTTGTCTGAGGCTGAGAGTAGGCATGGGAATTAACAGTAAACGAAATCTTATTGGGGTGATGGAAATGGTCAAAAACTATATTGTGGTGATGATGATACAACTCACTAATTTTCCAAAAATTGCTGAATTGTACACTTGAGATGGGTGAATTTTACAATATGTAAATTATACTTCAATAAAGTAATTAAGAAAAAAGAAACCCAATAATACGATTAATACAAAAATAAATTTGTCAAAAGTTAAAAAAAAAACAAAAACACTGCTGGACGGTTTGTGGCCTGCTGTTTCAAGTGAGCAAGGGTGGGATCCAGGAGACATAAATTATACTCGACCCTTCTCAGGTCGCCTGTGGCCAGAGAAAAGGAAGAGGAAATGATAAGTGGGAAAGAGTACAGACTCCCACTCTTTCCTCCTCCTGGTATGAATACCACATGATGTATGATTTTATAATTAACAGAAAAGTTAATGGTAATTTAAAACTAATTTCTCTCTCTTATCTTCTACTCAGAGAGAGGATACTTCAAGCAAGGAAGACAGAGTGATGTTACAGGACATCCACACTTGTTTACAACCCAGGTTGATGTTACACTCATAAAACTTTCAAGTGACAGTGAGTAAGTTGCTAAATTTTGTCTGATAAAAAGTGAAAATAACATAGGAGGGTTTAAAAACTAGATAGAAATATAGATGAGGCCATTTAAAAATTAATCTCCTTCAGAAATATTAAATATTGTTCTAGTTCATTACTTTATAATGGTTCATGATTTGTTCATCTCATTGTATCTTTTTTCACTTCATTGTAAAATGTAAATACATGTCACTGAGTTACTGTACTGTTTAGAAAACAACACGTGTGACTTTCAGTAAGAACAAAGTACGTTGTGCAAATACTATTCACAAATTCATGAATTTCCAAAGCTCATGTGACTTTCATATAATTTCTGTTAAATATTTTTCCTTTCCTCTGACTTACTTTTTTAAAACTTAAAACCTACAGAAAATTTGTGTGAATAGTACCATGAATAGCCATATACCCTTCACGTAGATTCACCAAGTGTTAACATTTTCCGTATTTGCTCTCTCCCTCTCTCTTTCCTGAGCGTAAGTTACAAACCTCATGAAACTTTACCCTTAAATATATTAGCATATGTCTTCTGAGAACAAATGTTCTCACATAATATCAATAAAAATCACACAGTACATTTATTTGGCATGTCCTTTTAGTCTCCTTTTATCTATTTAGGGAACAATGGTCCAGTCTTTTTTTTTCAGAGACTCCAGACCAATTTCTTCATAACCTGTCTCTCAATTTGAATTGCCAATTGTTTCTTTATGTTTGGAACCAGGTAAAGTATTGGGCACGAAAA